TTAATAGGTAACAGTACAACTGGTGTAGCCTGAATCATCGCAAACATAATTCGTAATTGACATATTGTGCGTGATATTCATTAAAGGTATTTTAATAATTGCTAAGGTATTTTAGTATTACTTTAAAAATACTTTTAGCGAAGTAATTAGACGCTCACAGACTTGTTTAACGATACATGAAACACATTGTTTTGAAATTATAAAGGTGTAGATTAAGCTGGTAAGAGATTAAATACTGGCATGGAATCGGAGAGTGACAGCTAACCTGATCTACACTATCCTCTAGAGGGCGTTGAGCCGGATACGTTAAGCCGGGCGTTGAGCCGGGTGCTGGAATGGCATCCCCAAGTACAGTTTGATTCTTTGTAATCTTTACTCCAACCACTTGCAAACAGATTTCAAAATTAGTTGAGTCCATTCTTAAAATACGGAATCCCTTGCCATTTTGAATATTTATTCTGTTCAGAAAATTAATGTACACGGCAATGCCTCCCGAAAAGAGGTTTCACGTCGAGTACGGCTTATTTTTTGTTTCCTTTGTAATATCATTAAGTTTTTTAAGCACAAATTAAAAACACATAAAGCAATTTACTGCGACACCTCTCACCTATTTCTGTGGTGCAACTGGCTCTCTAGGTGTGGGCGCGGGACTATGTATCGCAACAGTCTAGGGTCAGTGTCTCGTGACGGTCCCCACGCGTCCTACGACTTTGTTGCTAGGTGTGTACGACGTACTTTATGGACACATGACTACCAGAAAAGCATCTCCTATTTCCACTCAGAGTCGCCTGCTAATGGCTCAGGGAGGGTCAGCGACAGCTCCAGCGTCGTTCTTTCCTCTTTCTTTGTTTAGGGAAGGGGTTAATGTTTCATCGTTTAGAAACTTTATTATCATAACCAAGTGATAGTGGTAATCGGATGTAAACAAAACAATTAAAAACCGTCCCCATGTATAATAATTTTGTGGAAACTCCAGTGTTTTAGGCTTGTCCATAATCACGTTTAAATCGTATTTTAGTATTTGCGTTAGAGAATAGTTGTTCAGACGGAAAAAACACGGTGGATGGTGAACAAATAACATTAATAGAAAGAAGATGCAACCCGTGTCCTTACGAAAAGGACCATAACTACAGTAAATGTTCAAAAGAATTATTAACATACCTCCCAAACTAAAAATATTTTAACACAAACAGAGAAAATGGTTTCTTAATATTAATACACACATGTAACAGTAGTTCTTAAATATATAAGCATTTGCGTCAATTCTATTGCATTTTACTCTGCGATCTGCTATTGACCCTTCTTCCTCATTGATGTTCTCCAGATACTCAAATGGCGTTAGTAAGTGTCTCTTAACGAATGAGGTCCATTGTTTTGTGATTGACAGCAAAGTAAAAATAGTTTGGAATCAGTAATGACATATCGCAGCGATTCATGATTGATGGCATATGACGTGACCTGATGTTGTTTACGTATTTGTTGTGTTGTTTCATGTCCCAGAAAGCAATAATTTCCTTCACAACTTGTTTTACTCGTGATTATTTACTCGATATATTAAAATCATTTCTATTTTCACCAGTAAAACAAGTTGTGAAGGATATATAATAAGATAACGCGAAGTAACCAATTTAAATAACTCAACAAATTATTGTTGAAAACGTGGAATAGATCAACCGGAAAGCAACATTCCTAAATCAGTTCAAACATGCAGAAACGTGAACGTGGCAAGCCAACAACAATGTAGAATATCTTCCAGAAATGAATATTAATTTTCTGTGCACACTCGTATATCGAATGCAATTTAGCAGGTGACCGAAGAATCCCAAGTAATTTCCATGATAAAAATGTTTGAAGTAAAAAATTACAGGCAATCTCGTGCTGATAATTTATCTGTAATTACATTAACTTGCTTCCGCCCTCTTAAGGATTGTATGGGAGACGAGGAATTTGGCGTCAAGAAATGTTTATCAAAACGTTCTTTTTTCATCTGTGAGCAGCCCTGGAACTTGTCTGGTGGAATTTTACAGATTTATTTAATGGAACAACGTCTAATCTTGATAAAGTGCCTCGTCCTGATGTACATGAACGTTTTCTGAAAAATTATTAAGGATGCGTACCTTTACTTTCTTTTGGAGGCTTCACATTGATTCTGTAAAGCAGGTGGTTTTATTTTGATTAGATTTTTTCGTTCAACACTCTTAAACGCTTCAACGTGCAATTAGTGAAAACCTGTTTTCAGGTCTAAACATTCCTGGCTTAAATGCAAAATAATAGTGATGCAAAGCTTGTCTACTTCATGCAGCATTACGTCATTAACAGAGTCAGTGAATAAATCTGAAATCTCTTTGAATAAGAAGTTGTAGTGTATCGCTTAACTACCATTAGTTTTCAGAGACATGTTTTCAAAAGATGTGAACCCTAGAAATATTGATAAATGTGCATGAAAAGAATTTCTCCGTATCTTTTGGAATTGATTTTATTTATTACTTTTTAAAGGTACAAAGTAGCAGAACTTGAACAGATATTTTAACAAACACAATTATCCCCCTTCAGACACCCAAACGTATTAATAAAAAAACTTTTTTATGGCACTTTCCTACTTTTCTAAAATTCTTTTCTTGAATTGTAACGAGCTGCCTCTCAAACTCTCTTTGGACGGATGGTAGGTTATTATTTAGAGATCGGTGTCAACAAATATACCCATAAGATATGTTGCGAAATGTTCGGAAGGAATGCGAGGGATGATGTTCACTCAATTTTCACAAGTCTTCTTTTGTGTTTCTGTGAAATGAGTCACCTGGAAAGACGGACTAGCTTCGTTCGGACCATTATCAACAGTGCGGAATACGCTCAAAAGTTGAGGCAAAATTTCGGTAAAAAACTTCTTGAAAACATAATTATATGAAGCTGGGGCTTAGAAAAACTTGGCTGTAAAAATATACTTGGATATTTTCATGGTAACTCGATTCCCAACCGGGGCAAAAATTATAACTGTGCGCTTTCCTTACAACTGTCCCAGTATCTATTGCTGAGTGCCGCTGAGAAAGCCCACCCTAAAGTTATAAAGACCAATAGAGAGAGGTTTTTGTGCTAACCACACCAACCCCTTATCCCATGGCTGAGGGACTGGGTCACCGCTAGTCGGCCAAGGCCCGTATCGGACTGTCGAACTAAAGGACAGGACGGAGTTAACTCGTCATAAATGAGACGAAATGGAACTCCCATATTAATAATTATTTGGAGCGAATGGTACAAGACAATTTAATTTCTTTAATATTCAAAATTTCTTTTATCAGCAATATATTGCAACTGAAGCTCTTTAGGAAACCGTGAAGCGATTTTGGGAGTCTGCAAGGAACACCGGGTAAAATGTTTGGCTGTTGCCACATTGCATGAAGGAAGAGAATCCTCTGATATTTTAATGATCGTTTAGGAATACTGAGTTCTCAGAATCCAAGAGTATGTGAATCGATGATTAGGTGCACTCTGTTTTCCCAGAAATTGAACCTCGTATGTCCGTGCAGCTCACCCCAATGGCCATCTTCTAGCCGTGGCAGCAGGTAGCTCGGTTATATCTGTTCATTGTCCATCCGCTGCTCGTACATTTGTTATGTTCTTTTCTCATTTATTTGTTTCTGAAAAATAATTTTGTAATTCGACATATGTTCAATTCAATTACTGCCTTATTTTCCGTGGCAGAGTTCACGCCATCAGACCGCCTTGCCACGCGAATTCCACTACGCTCCTTTCACCGTCTAGCAGAGAAAGGGTGTATCACTCGGGTGACGAAAATCCTGTCGAATTTATTTTTGCTCAGAGGCTTCTTTTAGGTTTGAGAAACTTTATCATGCTGTAAATCTACAACATGGGACACCCGTTTTTATACGTCCCCTTTGAAGGGAGGCGTGCGAAGGATTTTTTCGCCCTTACCCCAGCTCCGATCGAGTTTGAATCCGCGAACTTAGGTATGTCAGTCCCACATGAAAACTGTTACACCACCCAAGAGAGGAATTTCCAATAAATCTTATTTTACTTGTTTGTAGTGGATTTAGTTAAACCGGACGGTATTGATCTCCTTCAATATTTCCCTAACCATCAACATTGTAAATCTATAGCGCGCGTCGGGGCCAGGGCGTATCGTTTATTTAAAAGAAGGCATGAGATATTAGACCGGTAGTGATAATAATAGTAAAAATAACGCAGCAGCAATGGTGATATTAAGTTTCAGAAATAACTTTGTCTACTTGCAAGATTTGGGAGTGGGGACACATACTGAATACCGAAAAATATGAGAATTGTCTGGACTGTCTGCACCATTCCAACCAATGTGACAGATAAGCTCACGTTTTTAGGTTTTTGGTTATATTTCGTACATGTATTTTCAAGTAAAATCTTTTCTTATAATATTATGAGTTTAACCTTCTTATATAGTGTAATGAGCTTACAGACAACATATTTAGTGTAAAAAGCAAATTATTGTAGTTGCAATAAATATATATTTTTTGCATGGAATATGCTGTGTTTGAACAATGTTTCTTGAAGTGTATATCCTTTTGATCCGTTCTGATAAATAAAAATTCATAATCAGATCAGACTTTATTACATGTTCTAAGAGATCATCAACATCTGCATGTCATATTTTAGAGGATAAGTAGTCAAATTTATATAAAACTTGATGTACAATTGAACGTTTTACTATGTGAAAAAAACTTATGATGTTGGATTACTAATATCACACTTATTTCGTTTATATTTATTACCTTATCATTACACCTCACCATTACACTTCGCCATTATACCTCATCTTTACACTTTGGCATTCCATCTCGCCCTTACCTCTCGCCCATACATCCCGCCACTACACCTTGCCATTTACTTGGCCATTTCACCTTGCCATTTCATCTCGCCATTCCCCCTAGCCATTTCACCTCTCCTTTACACTTTGCCTTTACTCCTCATCATCATCTTCAGGTTTAACGAGGCTCGCGACTGTCTTTCAGACGCTGCTGGTGCTGTTGCTGCTGCTGGCAGCGGCAACGGCCTTCGCCCGGCGCGACCTCGGGCTGCCCCCGCGGCGCTCGCGCTACATCCCGCCGCGCTACGAGGACTACGAGGACCCCGAGGCGGCGCTCACGCCCACGCTCAACAACGCGCTGCCCTCGCCCGCCCGGTCCCGCCCCGCACCCGCCACCCACCCCCACCGCCAACGCCAACGACAACGACGCGGGCCGGGGCACCGACGCGGACGCGGCAGCCGTGGACGCAGGACCTCCTGTGCGGCCCAAGACACGAACGGCGGTCAGGGCCAAAGCCCGGACGGCGATGGAGGTCAAGGCCCTGAAGAAGGTCAGGCAGGGGACTGATGTAGGCCAAGGACAGGGTCAAGACGGCGGTCTCGGTCAGGGACAAGATGGCAGTCTGGTTCTGTGGACCAGACGGTAGTCTGGGTCAGGGTCAAGGCGTGGATTTGGGCCAGGGACAAGATTTTTGGTCTAGGACAAGGCCAGAATCCCGCCTTTGGACAAGGCAAGGGCCTGACTTTGGACAAGGCAAGGGCCTGACTTTGGACAAGGGCAAGGTCCTGATTTTGGACAAGGACAAGGGCCTAATTTTGGGCAAGGGCAAGGATCTGATATTGGACAAGGGCAAGGGCCTGATTTTGGACAAGGACAAGTACCCGATTTTGGACTAGGTCAGAACACACCTTTTGGACAAGGTCAAGGTCAGGGCCAAGGACAAGGTTTTGGACAAGATTTTGGCAAGGGATTGATCCGAACATTGGTCAGACCCCGCTAGTGTCACCTACTCCTGTACCTACCCCCAGGCCTACTCCCCAACTCCTACCTAAGCCGCAACCTCAGCCCCAGCCCCACCCAGCCTCAACCGCAGCCCGACCAGCGCCCCCCGCCCCAAAGCTTCTACCCTGGCTTGAAGCCGTGGCGGCCGTGGGGTGGCGCCCAGGCCAAGCACAGCCGTGCAGGCACCCGGGCGGCCCCGGGGCGGAGCGGGAGGTTGGGGCGCGCACGCCCACCGGCGTGCACCCGGGCTTCGGCTGGGGCGACTCGTGGGGGCAGGGCGGGCGGCGCCCCGGTGCACGCCATTCCGTACTACCCGCAGCTCGCCTACGAAGACAGGCTCGCCAGGCGGTACCTGCCGCCCCGCTTCTGAAGACCCCGCCGCTCTCACTATAGCACACGCATTCCACACGACGCTTCCACAGCCATCCACAGCGCGCCTCCGCGCGGGGCGTCTGCCTGTGACGCTTCATCGTATTACGGGTGCACCAACGTGAACTTCGATTCGCAGTGCAGTTCTAGTTTGCGCTGCGAGTGCTGACGGGAAGTAGATCCTTTCATTTCCTTCCACTGGAAGGAAAATGTAAGTAGAAAGTTTGTAGAAGCCCGTCGGTTGAAATTATTAGTGTTCACTGTGATAAAGAGTGACTGAACGTTTGACTGACAATTTTAAGGTTTATGTGATTCCATCAAAATTAATAATATTGATGTTTCGTTTTGAAACTCTAGTACCGTTAATATTTTCTTTTTCAAAAAAAATATTTCGAGAACGTTTTTTGAAAGCTTATGTTTGTAATATTTGTAATTAAAATATTTTGAAAAGAAATGGATTATTTCTAACAAATACCAACACCTACACATTTTTATAATACACTGACCATTCCTTTCAAATATGCTTTAATGTACGACGCATAATTAGTAGCATTGATTGAAAAGGGAGATAAGTGACTTAAAGTCATGGCATAGAAAGAAGTAAAATATGCAAGATTCCTTAGTTCCTTAACAGGAAAAACCTGTGTGCAAATAGAGCAAAAAATTTGCACCTGAAGAATATTCTACACTGGAGTTCATGACAACGAATCGGGGTCAGCATGTCGTTATGTGTTAATCGTAAAATTTGGGTAGTAGATTCGTCTTTTAATTTTTTTTTTCATTTGGGAACGTTTTATACAATCGATCATATTATACAACTTGTTTTTTTATAAATGCACTGTAGAAATACTATTACTTGTGTGAGAATATATTGGTCATACATGATCTTTGAATAATTTTCAACATTTTGTAAGGTTTTTTAATTATTTTACGATATTGTAAATAGCGTATTGTATTATTAGCGGAAAGTTATAATTTGAAATTATTCTGAATGCCATATTACATTCTGTAAAAATGATTTCAAAACAAGAAATTCTTTGCGTGCTGAGGAAAAAGTTCTACTTTTAATAGGTAGTTAAGAAAGAATTAATCAGGCAATATGAATATCACTGTAAAATGAACAATCTCGTCTAAGGTCAAAGATACACGAGCGGAGAGAGAGGAGGAGGAGACACTGGGCGCACCCTTTTAATGGTGAGAGGGTCAGTCAAGGTAATTACTTTACTCTTTAATAAGCTGCGAGACGACTCATTTTTTTTATTATTTTCGTATGTCCGAAAAAATTCTATTAGTTGCCCTCCAAACTATAAGAAGTGTTCCCAGGTTAATACTTAACGTGTTATCAAAATTGACATTGTAATGCCTACATACGATCTCCCAAATAAAATTTCATCTTTGTGCACATTAATTGTTAAAGTCCAAAGAACTCCTTCCATTTCTTGTATATTAATTACAACGTCCATATCAACTGCTAATTAACACTCGGAGTAATTAAATAGAGCAATAATTATAATAGAAGAAATATAATATTATTAGAAAAAGAATACACAGTCCTTATTGAGTTTCGGTCAAATTAATCGACTCAGTTTTTTTTTTCAAAACGAGGCGTCTCGGTGGTTTATTGCATGAGGGCTAGCAGAAAACATGAACTATTCTAAGAAACACGTGGAATATGTTTCTCTGTAATATATGTCATACTATAATTTAAAAAATCACTAAAATACTATAAACCTTGAGATATAGCTCTTCAAATATACTTTAAGATATCTCTTAATAATTTATTCTAGGATATACATTAAACATTCTTTTTAAAATAAATTTACACATAATTAATTTAATATTATATTTCCGGAACGTTGGATTTTGAAATACGAGTTGGTTAATATTGTCGTCATCGCATTAAAGATAGAATGTATTATGATTCTAAAAAAATGGGCGAAAACCCACTTGAAAAAAATATTTCCTTCCACTATAGAATTTCGAATTCCGAAGATAAAAAGTCAATTGAAAGCGCGTTGATACAACCACTTGCACGGAGGCATTATGGCGCACAACACTAGCTTCAACGTATGTCAGAGAAAACGCATGTTTTCTAGCTTTCAACGCGCGATGCTCTCAAAGTGGCGCGCGTTGACAGTGTCCGTCGCCAAGAGCTCTCCACCAAATATAGAGTTTATCTGCGATGAACGTTACATGACGCGCGTTACATGATGCACGTTACATGGCACACGTTAACCCATCGCTCGTGCAATACTAACCTAAAGATTTTATTGTTTTGTTAATAGGACAGATGAGAACTTCAGAGTCATAAACAAGGCCAAATGACACGGTGATTATTCGTATTTAGTTATCTTAATTCGTAAGAAAAAATATTATCGATTAGGTTATTAATACTTAACGCTTTTTTATTGATATTCTTATTACAGATTACATTGTTTTCTAGCCATGATTTACTCTGTACCCATTAAAAAATTAATAAAGTTCTTCTACAATCTAAATCTTTAAACAAATTGCCTGTGAACAAATTATCGCTAACAGCAAGAAAGTTAATATTCAATTCTTCGAATCCAGACTAGTCGGTTCACTCAATGTTCTACATTATTGGTTCATTGGGGCGCCGCTTAAGAGTTCACAAGACATTTGGTTTTTGTGAGGAACAGCAAACACTTCAATCAAGCATTTCAAACAAGCACTTGTATGGTGCTACGTAGTGTTCAACTAATTAAGTATTGCTGTAAGGAGGTATTGACACGAACCTGCATATTGCAATTATTCAAATCTTCGCGTGAGTAGAGAGCTATGTTAGGCCTAGCTCAATAATTTAAAAATAAAATGTACTCAATTTTCATAGACTAAAATGTGTTTGAGATAAGTTAATAATCCTTGTCGTAAATAATAAATTCGTGTCTCTGAAGAAATCTTTAATACTATTTTACTAAGGGTTACTAAGAAGCGAAAAAGTATGTGCTGTTTAGCACTACTAGTTGTATATATTCAAATTTGTTGGTACGATTAAATTTCGCTTCTTTGGCATCATAAATTAATACTGCATCATATCGCTTTGTCTCACCAACAGGTCTACAACTAAGTTCTCAATTACATACTCGCATCTTTCTAATTCCGTGTAAAGAATTTTGCTAAAGAAATGTTGCTATTAAAAAATGCTTTACCACTTCAGGAGAACGCAAATTTTGGGTACACTGCAGTGTAGCAAGAATGAGTGATGTTTGTGTAACGAAAATGACACAACGTTCCACACGCTCTGATAGTTTAGAACAATGGAACATTCTTAACGCAGCGCGTGTAACGACGCATGGAGTGAAATCCTAGGTGGAAAATTGCCAGGATGCATTCTCAACGCAAGTCATTTCCATTGTACCATATACCATATCATTATTCTCTTCGATACTGAAGAAAATTGTACCCATGCTCACGTAGTATTGCTACTCGTATTTGGTAATAGCAAACATAAGTGATGTTCTACTTCGATTTATTGATTGATTATTTCCGGGGACGTCAACTGCTAAAGTCATTAGCCTTGTTAGTGTAGTGAATGTTCTATCTCTAGAGGTGGCGGTCTTTCCATCCCTGCTGGATGTCGAGATCCGGCAGTGAACTACACGTCGACTTGCAGAGGGTACGCCCTTTTCAGGTATCTCTCCTAGGGGACATCGCCTCAGCTGAGCAAACTCGAAATTTAGATTTAGATTTAGATTTAGATTTATTCAGCCAAAAAAAAAAACAGTAAAAACTGTATGTAACGTAGGGGGGAGAAGATTATCTGTGCATGTTTTCTTGAGTTCCAAAATCCCTTCCCGTCATTTTCACTATAAATTGTTGAAATACGAGTAAAAGTTTAATATAAATAACTAAAAATAAATTTTAAAAATCGCAAGATTAGCAATATTTGAAAAATTATCATTTTCGTTTACTGAGTCATAGAAAACGTATTTGCATCGGTACCCGAATTGCATGTATGATTTTTCTGCATTGCTAACGAAATAGAGATTTGGAGTCTAAAAATACCACATATAGCAACACTGTTGTAAAAATTGTACTATTTGATTGTTCGCAAAATTGCTTTCGCATGTTCTACTAAAGTCTAAATATCACCAGCACTGATTCATTCCATGAACGATCTCAAGCTTTTGCAATTACTTTTTCAATTTTGCTGCGAAAGAGCTAAGTATTGTTCAGTGGAATGTAATTGACCAGTAACGTGCAAGTTAATTTTTGTACATTACTGTCATCAAACGCGTTTGCGGTTTTCCAGTATGTAATTTAAATGTGGCTCCTCCATTATCAGCGCTATTTTGCGTCATTTTTCAAAGATGATGTAGTGTTAGGAATGCTTAAGGTGATTCATTCAGGGTGTGTATCTGAATATTTTTCGGGAAGGTGTGGCTATGGAATTGGAAGCCAAGAAGGCGACCTCGCCGGTCAGACTAATGCGGAACTCATAGTGACGTCAAACTCTAATAGCCACGTAAAAACCTCTGCGGCCTTTAAAACAAACGGGCGTATTAATAATTATTTTCTAATTGTTTTCGTGGTGTTACATTTTAAATTTGATGGTTTGTCAACACCATTATTGCGATCCGTTCAAAAATATTGAAAATACGAAGATGGGGTGTTCCCTGGATGGTGCGGAGACAGCCAATCAAATTTGTACTTGAACTCAAGGAAATGTGGAGGAGAGACTGTTGCTCTGCGATTGTAATATGACATTGTCGTTTGAAAATAATTTTATAAGTGGCATTTATTTCATTTATATGATAAAGTTTTTATACTTTTATTGAAATTTTTAATAAACACAATTCTAAATTGTTTTCTAAACCATAAGTATGATACATAAACAAATGCCATACTGTAATAGTGAATAGTAACATATAATAATAATAATAATAATAATAATAATAATAATAATAATAATAATAATAATAATAATATAATCAAAATAATAATATTAAGTGAATGGAACGTTTAATGCAGGTCTGAACCGTTCAGGATCAATCTGCACGGAGATAAGAGGAAATGTGAATCTTGTTGTATTTTGTTTTTATTTACTCTCAACGTTTCGTACATTATGCATGTCAATATTACTGCAAAGTCTTGGTGTATTGTTTCATCATGAAAACCACGGCATTTCAATTGATCATTAAAACCGTGAAAAATTCATTACCACTTAAATATAGTCTGAAATAAACATGTTTTTCTCAGAATTATAAAACCGCACTTTTACCGTTCTGGTTTTCACCCATTCATTTATAATAATAGTAACAGACACGTAGTCACTAAATACAGCAACGTTTTACCTTGTTACATCTTTATTGCAATTATAATACAAATAAATTGGAACATGCGTGACTGATCATGGTCACCTAAACAATAGTAAATCAGAAACATCGGCATTTGTGCAGGACTGACAGTTAAAGAA